CCACCTTCCTACAATGTTTTAAATGTTAATTTATTCTTATTTCTATATGTATCTTCTCTTTACCATATGGCAAATTCTTTGAGTATGACTATGGCTTTATCCTTCTTTGTATCTGTCATATTGTTTATAATGGTGCTTTGTTCAATAAGTTCTTTGCTGTGTGTGTGTTTGGTGGTACTAGAGCCTCACATGCTTGGCAGGTACCCTACCACTTAGCTACATCCTCAGCTCAATAAGCATTTTGACAGAGATTAAAGAGTCACCTTTTCTTTACAAATATTTGTTGACCATTTTACTGTTGAATTTTTGTAGAGTAAAATGAAAAAAATGAAGGAAAAATACAAAGACCAGGATGAAGAAGATCGTGAACTTATTATGAAATTGCTGGGGGTAAGTAACATTAAGAACATTCCTTTTGCTTTTCAGTGGACACCCAGCCCATGCTTAACTTGTGATAAACATTCAGTACATCTTTATTAAAAATCTTTTTTTTTTTCCTTTTGTTGTACTGGGGTTTGAACTCAGGGGCATTCTACCACTAAGCTACATCTCCAACCCTTTGAAAATTTTTATTTTGAGACAGGCTTTTGCTAAGTTGCCCAGGCTGGCCTTAAACTTGTGACCCTCCTTCCTCAGGCTCCCAAATCACTGGAATTACAGGCGTGTGCCACCACATCCTGCTGTCTTTGGGAAAATCTTGACAATAATATTGACAACATTAACTGAATTTTCCTCTATGAATTGAAGTCTGCAGGTTCAAACAAAGAAGAAAAAGGGAAGAAGGCGAAGAAAGGAAAAACAAAAGATGAACCTGTGAAGAAACAACCCCAGAAACCTAGAGGTGGACCCAGGATTTCAGAGAGCATTAAGAAAGAAACTCCAGCCCTTGAGGTTTTAACTCATGAGTTACAAGACTTAGCTGTAGATGACTCACATGATGACAAGGTAAGGCTTCCACACATGTGGGCTTTTGCTTTTTACTTAGGGTGACCAACCAAGACAAGTGGCAGCCGTCTTACTAATGAAAAGGCATCTTAGAAATGCAACCTGAAAGCCTAAAATTACAGTGTCTAAGCACAAAAATGGTAAGTGTTCACTGCTAATAAAAAATTTGTCATAAACCATTAGAGAATAATCAGTTTTATGAAGAGGATTTGATTCTGATAGGAACTTAATTAAAGTAAGACARAGAATTAGGCTTATCTTAAAGATGAATGAAAAATAAATTTTTAAAGCATTTTTTGTATACTATATATTATCTTAATATATGTTGAAAGTGGTTACATAATTCAAGGGCCAAATCCTAAGGTGCAAAAGCACTGACAAGTTACCTTTACCAGGGTTGGAGGTGTAGCTCAGTGGTAAAATGCTTGTCTGGCATGTACAAGGTCTGAGTTCCATCCCTATCATCACCCAATTCCTCCCAGAAAAAAACATTTTCCAGATAAGATAGTTGTCAATTGTTTTATCAACTGGATACAGTAAATCCAAACTTATATATCATCTTGCATGAATATATACATCTTGACATTCTGAGCATTTATTTTTATAAATTTGTGTAAAATACAGGATGAATCAATTTTTTACTTTCCTGATCAGGATTGTTTTTATTTAAAGCTTGAATATAATTTGTGCTTAGGGGGCTGGAGTTGTGACTCAGTGGCAGAGCACTTGCCTAGCATGTGTGAGGCACTGGGTTTGATCCTCAGCAGCACATATAAATAAATAAATAATAAAGGTACACCAACAACTAAAAAATATTTTWAAAATTGTGTGCTTAGTATAGGTGATATGGGGATTTTATATTATAATATTTTCTTTTTTTTCCTCTCCTGAACAATGTTGTTTAGTAATTCTRAAAATTCATTTTGGGTCTCATTTTTTTTTACCATATTCTGCAGTTTATTCTGTAAATCCTAAATGCACATATATTCATAAGATAATAATTATTAATGTTCTTTCATGGGTAGGTGCCATGGTCTGAATGTCAGTAACCCCCCCAAATTCCTATGTTGTAAACTAAATACCCAATTTAATATTACTAAGAGGTGAGGACTAGAGGAATGGGATTAGTACCTTAAAAAAAAGGTTGAAGGGAACGCCCCTTCTGCCATGTGAGCCAGCAGCAATGTGCCTTTTTTGAGGCATGCCCTTACCAGACACTGAATCTGTTGGTATCCTGATCTGGGATTTCCTAAAACTGTGAAAAGTATTCTATTAAGTTTTTCAGTTTAAGGTATTTCATTCTAGCAACCTGGACAGACTCAAGTTATTTCCAAATATATTTTTCATATCGAAGTAATAAAATTATGTGTATATCTTAGTATTTGAAAAATTGTCTAAAACTATTAAACAGAAATTTAAAAATAAAAGTTCTTTTCACCAGAATTTCCCATTTTCTTTTCCCTTGACAAACATATCAAGTTTAATTGTCATTTTAAATTGTTCCTACAATTTTCACAGCTATAAGATGTACTGTATGTGAAGGATTTTTTTTCTCCACTTCAGGGAACTGTCCTTTTTCTCTTTGAATGGTATTGCTTTCTGAAATATAAGCACACACACCAATCCACTTCAGAGTATTGGTACACTAAATAATACAACCTTGGTGCCCCTACCCTGTGGGTTGGATATGACAGTCTTATCATTTCACTATTTCTTTCTCCGCATGGTTTAATGATTTCAAATTTCATTGCTGACTTTTAATTTTCGTATATTTGAACAGGAAGAGCAGGATCTGGATCAACAGGGAACTGAGGTATGATTTTTATATTAAGATTAATATTACAACAGTTTTCTTATAGTCCTATCCCAGAATATTTGATACAAAACTTCTACCTAATTAAAACTTAAGACTACATGATCTTGAGTCAAACTTTCAGGATTTGAATTCCAAGCCTGCTGGATATAACTGTGTAAACTTGGAAGTAGACTTTGTGCCTCAGCTTCCTCATTCTTTGTGCCTTATTGTTATGTTTAGTAACTGTACCTACTAGGAGACTTGTTTTGAGAATATATGTGATACATTTAGAAAGGCATATGACACAAAGCCAACACTCAGGTCACCATTTTGTCCTAAATCTAAGTTTACTGACTCTAATACATARGGTCAGTCTTATAGGCAGCCTACCCACCAAATGAGAATTCTAAGAAGCCCTGGGATTTCTCCTGAAGAACAGGTGAAAAGGCTATTCTAGCCCGGGTTTCTCAACTTTGGTACTGTTTACAGTTTGGAATGAGGTACCACATGCCAGTAAGCACTTCCCCTTCTTTTTTCCCCTCCCCTCATTGTAAAAATCAAAACTGTGTCCTCTGGGGCACAGAAATTATTGGTCAAGAATCACTGGTCTGGGGCTGGGGATGTGGCTCAGTGGTAGCGCGCTCGCCTGGCATGCGTGCGGCCCGGGTTYGATCCTCAGCACCACATACAAAGATGTTGTGCCTGCCAAAAACTAAAAAATAAAGATTAAAAAAATTTAAAAAAAAAAAAAAAAAAAAAGAATCACTGGTCTCTGGGCTGGGGATGTGGCTTAAGCGGTAGTGCGCTCGCCTAGCATGCATTCTGCCCGGGTTTGATCCTCAACACCATATACAAACAAAGATGTTGTGTCCGACGAAAAACTRAAAAATAAATATTAAAAAAATTCTCTCTCTCTCTCTCTGTCTCTAAAAATAAATAAATAAATAAATAAAATTTCTCTCTCCTCTATCTCTCTCTGATCTAGCTAAAGTCCCATTTCCCTGCAACAGATTTAAATCTATTTGTGGCCAGATGTGGTGGCACACACCTGTAATCACAGCTGCTTGAGAGTCTGAAGCAGGACCTCCCAAAGCAGCTGTGATTACAGGTGTGTGCCACCACATCTGGCCACAAATAGATTTAGAGGCTAGACTGCACAAATTAGCAAGACCCTGCTTCAAAGGGACAGCGGGGTRTTGCTCAGTGGTCAGGCATCCCTGAATTCCATCCCCAGTACTAGAGAAGGGAAAAAAAAAATCTAACTGTGGTCATTACCGTGTATCATCATAATCCACAGGATTGTTCTCCATCTCGAGTAATTTTTAGGTATTGCTGTCATTATTTAGGCTACATCAGAAAAAGTTAAATATATGTTGAAATTTCAATTGACTTAGAATTTTCCTCATTCTTTGTTTTTGTGGTGCTAGGGATGGAACCCAGGGCCTCACAAGTACTAAGCAAGTATTCTCTACCCCTGGGCTATATCCCAGCCCCTAGTTTTCTTTTTTTAAGGCTGTTGTAAATTACTTTTATAATTGTTTTTATTTTCCCCTTTTAGGAAAATCTGTTTGATTCTTTGACAGGCCAGCCACATCCTGAAGATATCATACTATTTGCCATTCCAATATGTGCTCCTTATACCACCATGACAAACTATAAGTAAGTTACCATTAGTTTACTCAAAATAGTTGACACAGTGACTTTTATGAGCTGTTTTATAATCTCTATTTAGTAACTCATGCAATTTCTTTTTAAAGGTATAAAGTGAAACTTACTCCTGGAGTTCAGAAAAAGGGAAAAGGTAATTTTTTAAAATTATGATTTTAAGCAGTTCAGTGACTGAACAGAGCTAGATTCTTGTTTTCTGTTTACAGCTGCCAAAACAGCCTTGAATAGTTTTATGCATTCCAAAGAAGCAACAGCAAGAGAAAAAGACTTATTCCGCAGTGTGAAGGTAAAGTTTTCCTTCAAAACTCTGGAGATTGGTGGTATAGTTAAACATTTTCACAGTTATTTTCTATTGCTTTATAGAAAATGCTGTCTTAACTTGAAACTTGAAGCAGTAAAATCATTTCCATTAAAAATTTTGGATATGCCTTTCTTTTCACAGCAGAGGATTCATAGTTGTCATAAAAGAAGCATGATTTRCCATATAGAATGTGAAAATATTCAGCAATTTTCTTTTTTTAGGACACAGATTTATCAAGAAACATTCCTGGCAAAGTGAAAGTATCTGCACCCAATCTTCTGAATGTAAAAAGGAAATAGCTGAAATGAAATCCTAAAATATTTGAGAAGAGTCAATTTTATAGCCTTTTGGAAGTTCAGAGATGAAAACACCATGTAACAGGACTTCCACRTTTAAAAATGAACTAAACATTGCCTTGCTGTATTCGCCAAAATGACTTAATTCTTGTTTTTTTCCAGTTTTATATAGAGGAAACACTGTCTGATAGGATTTCCTAAAATATTTGTGAAAAGTTAAATGCTAATTATATTCATCTGTAGTTATTCTCCAACATTATCTTGAAGTTTGGGAGGTTAATATTCAGTATTCATTTCATGATGTAAAGAAATTGAACATTGAAGTGTGGCTCAGTTGCTTAAACTACTGACTTGGTAATCTACTGTATATAACATCTAACATATATATACACACCTGTATATATATATACATATGTATTTGCGTGTATATATAGAGAAACAGGCCAATCATAAGGGTTTTTTGTTGTGGGAATGGGGGCGATTAAACATTTAGTATTGTGTCTTGAAAACCTTGTCAAAAAATATAGTAGAGCAGATGTAAAAAATACTAATTCTTATGACTCAGAGCTTGAGAAATAACACCTAAAAGAAACTGGTATTGATCATTTCAATGCATTTATACATCTTCATTTTTCATCTTAATTTCTTCCTTGTAATCTCATTCAGTTCTGTACCATTTTCTTTTCCATGTCTAGTAGTTATCAATAGCATGTAATAGAATATCAACCTATAATATCAGAAGTGCACTTTAGGCTTACCACTAAAGATTCCTGACCCAGCTTTCTTCYTCTGTCTCCTATCAGAATGGAGAATAAAGTCATACATTATTTCCATTCATTTATGAGCTATAAAATATACTTTTTTAATTGATTGGACAACATCTGTCTATCTTCAACCACTTTCTTGCCCCAGCCCCTGCACCAAAGTGTTAAGGTCAAGTATTGAATAGCTGTTGGTCCCTCTAACAATTTTTAGTCTCTATTGAGAATAGTTTTCCTTTTGAAATTAATGTTAAAAAAAACCATTTTATTGTATTTATGATGCTAGTCTATAAAATTATGGACTGTTCTTGCTATTTAAAGAAAAACTAAAATTCCAATGTTTTCTTTAAAAAAAAAAACTACCATTTTGATAATGGTAAGATTATTTAGTACGTTTCTATAGATATATCCTGAAGTTAACAAAAGGAAATGTAATAACCATTCTTTGGGGTAAAAAGCCTAAGTGTTACTTTTTTTTGCTTTAATAGAGGAAAGTTACTGGTGTTAAATACATTTATTGTAAACTTTGACACAAAAATAGGTTCTCTAGGCCATTCACATGCACATTAAAATCAAAAAGCTGCAAACTACAACAATGCATATAATTATACAAATGATGCCACTCTGTGATGATTACAGGATTGTTGTCCATGCAAGGAGATCTGAGGCATTATCTATGACGCCTTAAGATCCAGAAGTGTTGTTACTACCAAACCTCTGATTAACACTGTGAAGTAAGTGTTTTGGAAGGCAGTTCCACGAGTTGGCTAACATTTCTTTAAAGCAAATGACTGCTTCTAAGCTTAGCCTGAAAAGTGGACAAAAGAAAAATAATTTCACTTTGCTGTTTAAAGTACATTAACTTGAATTTAAAATTAAATAAATAAATAATAAACCTCTTTCTTTAGGAACTGATTACATCAATGAAGATTCATTGCTCTTAAATAATCCATAAACCTGTTTTTTTTTTTTTTTTTTTTTTAAGAACACTAAAGTGTCAAGTGCCAAGGAAAAATTTACTTACCGTACAAGAGATTTTGGTTGAACTGAAAATATAAGTATTTCATTACTGTGTGCCTGAAAAATAGAGGTGAACACATTAAAAACAAAAAGGCAAGTGCATCACAGATAAGTTTCAGTAGTAATATGAAGTGGTATACTTACAGCTCTGTGATGAACCAGCAGGTTGTTGGCACACCCACCAAAAACAATCACTTCTCCTTCATCACTAGCACAAGCTGTATGCCATAGCCTGAATTTAAAAAAAAAAAAAAAAAAAAAACTTGAATTTGAAGTCACCCAGAAGACCAACTTGATCATTCACACTCATAACTAGTGAAATAAAGATTAGAGATCTTAAGATAGTTGTTGTGCCTAAACATGACCATGAGAAATAAAACCTTAAGGAAAAGTAGCAGAACTAGAAAAATCAGTGTTGATTTTATATGGATATTATTTGTCTCTGTTTCATTTATGGAGTGAAGAAGTGTGAATTCAATGATGTGTTTTGTAGGTCTTTGATAGCAATAAGTTAGCGTTACACAGAACATCTGAGGGGTGCTGAAGTTCTGCCCCAATAGAACATCTGAGGGGTGCTGAAGTTCTGCCCCAATAAGCTGAAAGTCTTAAAGCCTGATAATTCTATAGAAAAGTCATTTGAACCAAATGAAATCTTAGTGGCATGCCTGTGCTTGCATTAGAGGATTGGGGGGAAAAATGCAGGTGACATATCTAAATATGCTTTGAACTCCATTGCTGAGTAAATCATTGTCCTTAACAATTCATTTGACAATGATAATTTGATTTATCCTATTGTACATTGCTATTGTAAATTTAATCAGCAGTTGTTTTACCTTCCCATACATTAAGATTTTTAAATTCTCCCCTTACAAGTTCCTTTTGTTTTTGTTTTAATTACAAACTTAGGTGCCATTCAACTCAGGAAAACAACTTGCTTTTRAGTTTTAACTGTGTCAATAATTTTTTGATAGCAGAAGGAAAGGGCAGCCCTATTCTTCCTACACAGATAATAACAGAAAGGCATTTGATACTCAAATTAATATTGGTTTTCCTTGCCTGGGAATATAACTCCATGGTAGAGTATTTGCCTAGCGTGTGCATGGCCCCTAGGTCCAATCTCCAGTATCACAAAAGAAAAATATTGGTTCTCTTTGAGAAGTATGATGTTAAACCCTAATAGATACCAAGATTTTTTAAAATAAGAATATGGGTAAAATATAGCTAAAATATCCTCAGTTCTTATTAGTCTTGCACATTTCTAGGCCTAATTCAGTATAAGAATTGTCTTTTAAATAGTTCATACCTTGGTTTTTCAGTATAGGGATGATTAAACTGTATCCATTCATTTTTACTGATGCAGTAAGTCCAGGCATCACCTGATTGAAGCAAAATTTAAAAAGCTGTGATGTATGTTTATCTTTCATTATGACATTGATGTTTAAAGGGCACAACTTGTGCAAAAAAAGTAATGAAGTTTTTCCTTTTTTCCCCTCCTTTTTTTCTCTGCAGTTAACCACCTTTGCATGTTACAGCCTTTCAAGGCTTTTTACATACTGCAGGTCATTTCTCTACTGGAGGAATGGATTTATGACATAATATGTACAATGTAGCATAATTTCAGTATGTATGGGATCAAAATTAATAAATCTCCAAGCCAACCCTATACTCTCTTGATGCATCTAAAATAAAATGATTTTCAGCAAATCATATGATATATAAATATTTAAGTTTTTTAAAGACTCACTTAGTGGCTGTTTTTCAGTGGTAAATCCTCCAAAGAGAAAAAGATGATCTGAAGAAACTGGTGTTAGTGAGTGCCAGGATCGGCCGACAGGGCATATACCTTGTGGAATTCTGAAAATAAGTTACAACATCCGTTTCAAAGTAGCTACTATATTTAATGCAGAGAAATATTTAAGTTTTCTTTTAAAATTTAGATGGGATTATTAGGAAAGGAGATTTAAGGGTCTTAGTATTATCTACATGCTTTATACTGCCCCCCCCCCAAAAAAAAATAAGGCAAACATTAAAGCCCATGCTTGCTATGCCAGCAGGCACATAGTTTTTGAAACTGGAAATAAGATTCCATCCTTAAGAACCCTGGTAATCATGTTTATTAAATTCATAGTTAAAGAAGATTAAAGCAAGTTTATTACATACTAATAATAAGGTATAGGGAGAAAGGGTTTTTTAAAAAAAAAACTTTTCTGAATAATTATCTAAAGTGATACTTGCAATTCATTCCACTCCCATGTATCCAGATTAAGATAGTGAAGATCATTCATTCTAGCATCCTAAAAAAGRATAATTAAGTAGTTACATTTTGAAGAATTCAAAAGTAAGCTATTGAAACTGTTTATATACTCACTCGGTATCTGCCTCCAAAAACAAAACCTTTGTTTCCAACAGTTGCACAGGCATGGGCAGCACGAGGTGAAGGTGCTTTACCCTATTAAAAAGTAATAAAAGCAATTTAATAAACAAGTGAACTATTTAGAAATGGGGAAAATCCAGTCTTGATGTAGAATAAGAATATGCAAAATACTTGAGTTTTTAARAGCTGAAGCACAGACTTCTAGACAACAGCAATACTGAAGACTGATGCATTATTTAATATGTATCAGAGGGAAAGGAAATCTAATGTAAGTTCCCATCTAGAACTAGATTATATATTACCAGTAACAGCTGCTATTATATACCATCTATTAGGTAATAAATGTTGGGTTAGTCTCTTTATACATTTATTAAACTACTCTGAGTTCTAAGTTCCTTGGAGAATAATGGAAACTATGGATTGTCTCTCCAGAAAACAAGAAACAATAGTTTCACATCATCTCCCAACTCTGGCATATTCCCCTCTCCTCTAAATAGCCTTGCTTTAATGGTATATTATTGCTTATTAACTCACAGTAGTTAGAGGCTGGCTCCAGGTAAATGTTTCAGTGTCTAAAATATGTACATGATCATTCCATCCTCTTGGATGACTTGAATTCTACAGAAAAAAAAAAAAAGACCCTCTTTGAGTTAGTTTACAGATAATGTTTATAAAATTACACAGCCACGTTCAATTTATTAATAAGTGAACAAAACTACTAGTGTATATACAATGTATTATGCAGACATGAAATTTACTTACCCAAAAAGATGTTTCATCAAATTCAAAAGTTCCCAATACTTTATCTTCAGGTAAATAGCCATACCCTCCAAAAAATATTAGCCTGTTTGATTAAAAAAAAAAAGACACTAAAAATTCAAACATCCACAGGATAGGACCCAAGGAATTTTTCTCACTATTTTTTTGCAATATTATGGATTGAACCCAAGGCCTTGTGCATGCTATGCAAGTGCTTTATCATTGAGCTGCATACCTAGCCCTTTTTTATCTTATTTTTAAAATTTTGAGACAGAGTCTCACTAAGTTGCCCAGGCTGGCCTCGAACTTTCAGTCYTCTTCCTCGGGCTCCTAAGTGATTTTTTTTCTTAATTTGACATATAGTACAAGTTGAAAAGTTACACTTATATATATGAATATACTTATTCAAATAATAATAGCTAACACTTAACTATATCTTAAGTACTGTGTTAAATGCTTTTATGTGTTAATATATTTAATATTCATATTGGTCCTATGAGTTATATTGTATACTGTTTATTGCGTAGGATATTTGAATGGTAAACTACTTTCTGCATAAAAATCCAAACCTATATTACTTTCTAACTCACTTGTTTTTATATACCCAGACACCAAGTTTGTCCTTTGATGATGGAGGAATTCCTTGGCAATCAATTCTTTCCCACTGTAACACTCTATCTGTAGACCTTGAATCCAGCATGTAGAACTGTCAGAAGCAACAAATTCAGTTAGATTTTGTTATGTGGAAGAAATTCAACTTTATTTAGCAATTAATTTTACTGTGGCTTATAATAATAAAGGTGCCATCTAATTCAGTGTTACTGAAATTGTGACTATAGACTGACYGCCAGGTGGGTCAGAGTCAAGATTACTAAGAACTTGTGACAGAATGTAAATTTCTAAATCACTAAGAACACAGTTATTTCAACTAATTTTTCATAGCCACCCTTTTATGATGAAGGACTCAACAATGTGTTTATTTACCATCTGGCATAAGCTCCTTATTTTGCTGTAGACAGGCACTTTGAGTCAAACTGATTTGATTTATACATATTAGGACAGTATTACCAAAAACCAAAATCAAGTCTGTCAATTTTACCTTTAAGTTCAATTTAACAAACACATCTTCAGTGCCTACCTGGGAGCTCCTAATTCTGGGAGCTAAAGATCCCTATCAGTACTTAAAAGGTTAAATGTTGTCCACCCATCCAGGTAACTGGATATATTGACATATCAGTCACTTCTCAAACACTCAAGCTTCCTTTTGGTCAAACTTAGAACACTGAATCCTAGCCATCTGTGACCACCCTCTAAAAATCACAGCTTTCCTTTCCAAGCTTTTTCAGATTGTGTCAAAGTTGTTTTTCTCCCCCAGGGCTCTGAAAAATACATGGCCAAACTACAGCTCAAACCTCTTAGGCATAGAACCATTTCTTTAAACAAAAATCTTGAAAGCCCAATATGTAAAAACAAAAGTGGAGTTAATACTTGTTTAAATGGGGGAGGGAGGGGCAGTGTGGAGCCCACCTAACACTATACATTCATTCTTCTCATGGGTACCTCAAAGAAATCCCTGGTTTCTAGAAGCACAGTTTGAAACCATCTAAACCATATATCACACCTACAAAAAAATCCCTGGCATTTCCTTGAGTAAGATATACTTGATTATGTCTCTGCACCATTGACTACCCCTATTATTCAGTTTAAACATTACCTCTTGGTTGATCAACTCTTTGGTTTTCTACCAAACCCAATGTCAAGGACTCTTTTAGAATTAATAATATTTACTATATTATTACTTGTGTCAGGCTGTGTGCATATAATCATTTACTTATGTGTGTCCCTTCCAGATTGAACTCCTTGAGGTAGAGACTGTTATCATTCATCTTTCTCTGCAGTGTCCAACTCGGCATATAAGGTGCTTACTAAGTTGCCAAATAAATGAATTGATAGGAGTCTGCCTATATCATGTGTCCTTCTGAATCTTAAATCTGTCTCTTACTGGTCTGAAGAGAACAAATGAGAATTTGGAAAAAAAAATATATGAGCAAAATCTGAGCAGCAGTGTCTTAGGGTATCATATTATAGAAATGTTACTATCTGAATTTTTTTCAGTGTCAATTTATCCTTATGACTTTCTGAGTGTTCTGTTCATCTTTACCCTTCCCTCCATGATTACATCTTGTTTCCAATTTGTATCCTAATCAAAGTACATAATATTTTTAAACTGGAACAGATATATAAACATAACCTGACTTGGGTAATGTGAGGTCGTCTAAAAGAATAAACTTGCCTTGAGCCATAATTCTTAGAACACTAACCTTATTTGTATTGCCTCTTGAATGGTGTCCTCCAAACAAGTACAGGACCCTGTCTACACACACAGCACAGCTTCCTGACATAGAAGGAGGAACATCACCTTCAGTATTTATTTTTTTCCTGAGGGAAGGAAATTGAATATATATAAGTTTACCAAAAATTAAGAAAGGCAAAACTTCATTTTCTTCTATTTATAGTTCCTCAATAAAGGGAGTAAAATAACAGGGCCAGTATATCTAGGGTCTCTTAGACCTGAAATCAATCCAAAGGATGAACCTTTCTCCTTTTTCTGTTCTGTGGACAATGAATAGAGTCCAGCTGGTCCTACATGCAGGCAAAATGAGATTCTGAAACCCTAAATGTTGTGTTACCTTTTATTATTTTTTTTAATTTTAAAGTGTTTTTTAGATGTTGACAGACCTTTATTTTATTCATTTATTTATATGCAGTGCTAAGAATTGAACCCAGTGCCTCATGCATGCTAGGCAAGCATTATACCACTAAGGCACAATTGCAGCCCCTTATGTTGCACTTTTAAAAAAATATTTTTAGTGTAGGTGGACATTTTATTTATTTTTATGTGGTGCTGAGGATCAAATCTAGTGCCTCACACATGCTAGGCAAGTGCTCTACAACTGAGCCACAACCCCAACCCCTTGTGTTGTACTTTATTATTCTGGGAACCATTTTATATTTCTCAAACTAAACTATGCTATTTATTCACATGGCCATAAGCAGTCAAGACCACAGGAGGAAAACTTCAACATTCCCAGTCTTGATAGACTAATTCWGTGTTCTTTATTCAGTCACCTTTTAGCCATTTGAATGAATCTGATTCAGATTCTTATGTAATACTCAAACACCTAAGTGGTGGTGTTTATTTACTTTTTGCCAGGTACTTGTGAGTGCTTTGGTATGTATTGACTCATTCTGAATCTAAAAATGAATCTGAATCAAAAAATTCTAGGATTCATAATATTAATAGCACATTCAAGGTCCTCTGTTCACACAGATACATTTATCAGTTCATCTTTGCTAACCCTGAAATTTGACTGTCTTTTTTWAAATTTATTTTTACTTATTTATTCATTTTGGTAGGCTTATTTTTAAAAAACGTTTTGAGTATATGTGTGTGCTATTGGGATGGAACCCAGGATAGATGAGCCACATTCCTACTTTTAATATTTTGAGTCAGGGTCTCACTGTTGCCCAGGCTGGCCTTGAATTTGTAATCCYCCTGCCCCAGCCTCCTAAACTGCAAATTAAAGGTGTATGCCACCATGTCTAGTCTTTAAAACTCTTAATTTAAAAATATGTAGAAGCCCTCTATTAGGGAATACTGTACTAGTAAAAGTTTCCAGTTCTCTAGAAAAAGATTTGCAAATAGCTCATAGTAACACTGATTTGCTATAATCCTGACTTTTAGTTTAACTCTTAAGTGGGACTTCCCCTCCATTTTTGTCAGTGCTAGGACTTGACCCAGGGCCTCATGCTTACTAAGCAAGTATTCGCATCATTGAGCTATAGCCCCAGTTCTCAAGTGGGCCTACTATTCTAATATTCTTGTTCTTAGATTTACAATAGGTAAAATATCAAAGTGCAAAGTTCTCACAAACCAAACCATTGGAAACCCTTTTATAAATCCCCAAACATGGTTCACCCAGCATTTTGAGCAACATTTTAATTTGAATGACATGTTCTTTATTTATCACTGTTGTGCAATTGGCAAAAKAGATATTCCAGTTTTATATAAAAGAAAAGATTTATTTTGGTTTTTAAAGAGAACATTCTCTTTTTTTCTTTTCTTTTTTTAAGGGTGATATAACCACTGAGCTATATCACCAGGCCAGAATATACTCTTTTTTAAGAGATTTGTGTAGAACTTAAATTCTAAGCTATCTAAAACCTAACAATTCAAACAAACTAAATCTTAAGATACCATGTAACAGAAGTCATATATCTTAAGATATCATATATTTAAAAAGGGTATATGGAACTTTTATCATCTTTTCATTCCAGGGTCTGAAGCTRCTGCCTCCTGGTACTTTACAGAGCCCTGAATAGTATTTACAGTACCCTGAATAAAAATTTATTCTAAGGTCATAAAAGTATCTAGTAATTACTGAACTGTTTCTGAAAAGATTAATTTTAAACAGAAATGAAATAGGTAAGGTGAGGTTTTTTTTAAGTGCATGTTTTTTATTTTTATTGTTTAATTATCATACTTCTTTATAATAAAGTTCACAATTTGCATGCTTTTTGTTAT